CCCTGTCCCTGGCTGTGTCCCTGCTCCACCCACATGCCCTGCCCAGCTCAGACTCTTCCTCTTTGTGTCGGGGGCTCAGACCCCTGGTCCCCGTGGCCAGCATCTCTTGGCTGTTGGCCAGTGAAGGTGCTGATGAGTGGGGCTGGAGGAAATGGATGCAGCCCCACTCTGATCCCTGGCATCACCACCCAGCAGAGCAGAGGGAGCCAAGAGCTCAGCAGGCACTGCCAGCTGCCCGGGCTGGCCCCTGCAGACATCTCAGGTGTCACTTTCTGATCCCTTCCCGGATGACTGTGTTTGAAACACAAGCCCCAAAATCTCTGTCCCTAGACGAGGGCTGCTCTTTGAGCTGTGTGTGTCCCCCTGAAGGGTGGGACACTGCTCTGGAGCCAGGATCATGACAGTTCCTGCTTCTGCCATCTTCAATTCCTTCATCCATCATTTTCCTTCTGCTTTCCTGTTCCCTCTCTGCCAGCTTCCCTTTTCCTTTCTGCACTGACCTGGGGAGGATGTTTACCTGCAGAGGTCACAGAGTTCTGTAGTGAGGTGTGATCAGATCTGCTTCCACCTGGGGGAACAGTGGGAAAAGTCTTTTCTAGTCTGTCCATGGAAGAGAAACTTTAAAGTGAAAATCAGTGCTGGGGGGCAGAAATTTGCATTTTCTACCTTTGCTGCTCTCTCCTCTTTTTGCCTTTTGTCTTGTTTTCCTTTAGTACTGAACGTGAACAACAAAAGCAGATCAGAAGCATTTAAACTCTTTTTTTGCTGTTTCTTCCTCCCACCAAAAAAATTAACACGGGCTAACAAAGCCTTCAGAGAAGCTGTTTTCTTTGTTTAGCTAAAGAGACTAATCAAATCCTGAACAGAAAACTACTGAATCATTTAGGATTTCAGGTGTTTTGGTTTAATTAACGTTAAGCAGAAGGCTTTTAATATATATCTCATATGGTGGGAAATTTAGATACACCACTACCAAAAAAAACATAAACTTAACTTTTATTTAAAAAAAAAAAAAGGCTTAGATAGCATCTTAACCCTATTGACACAGAGATGCCCTTAACTGCATAACAGTCTTCAGATCCTACATGTATGCAGAATATTTTTACCATCTTCAGATCCTACATGTATGCAGAATATTTTTACCATCTTAAATATCTTATTTCATGTTTGTATAAACTTTTGCTACGACTAAGACAGTTCAAATCAAAACTTAAGACTCTCCTGCCCCACCCACCCTTTCATTTCATCTCTGATCTTTAAAGCATGTAAAGAGAAAATGGCATTGCCTCTGAGTAAAGGCAGAGGGAGGAATCTGTTATTTAGAAAACATGATACAAGGATTGATTTCTTATCTCCCTTCACAAGCTCACTAGAAGCTTTAGCTGCTTTAATCTCAACAACAGATTGTCTGGGTTGGAGGATGCTGTTTGAAATCTCTGCCTAAAGTTATCATTTTAAAGAAGTCCTTTAGCTGAGCTGTCCTGCAGAATGTCATCCAAATGTATAAAATAACCAGGCAGGCAGGGAAGTTTTAGGCCGACTTTTATCTCTTTTTCTGAGTGTGACTTTTTCACACGGATCACAAAGGCATCATCTCTCTCTCTGTGGTCACAGAAAACACGCTGGGAATTGTGGAGTTGTTTCTTGAAGCCCTTGCCACGATGATGCTTTTCCTGAATGGGTTGCTGAAAGTCAGGATTGGTGTCACAATTAAGTTCATCTTCATTTATGAACTTCTTGTCCCAAAGGCAAGAAATTAATTCACTCGGGAAAAAACACACCCAGCACTGTGCTGCTGCTCTCTGTTCCTAAACACTTGGTAATTCAGAATTGCAAAGGAAAAAAAAAGTTCTCAAGTGCCTACAGAGCCAAAGGAACTCATTTCTATGAGCTGAGAATGACACAATCCTGACAGAGTGGGGATAAGATTTTATTTTTTTTTTTTTTTTGGCTAAGAATGTCCCAAAACGTTGCAAACAGAAGGAAGACAACCCTGGAAAGAATGTAAACGCTTGGAGTTTGAGCCCTGTTTACACATCTGGATAATTAAATGCTTGTCTGGAAGCAAACTATTTATTTACTGCCTTCAACTAAATCCCTCACACCTCATTCTGAAATATTTAAGTTTGTTTAAAGTCACAGTTGTGTTATGCTATTAACTAGATGCATCACCAGCCTGGTCAAATCTAACCAAGAAAACCAATGTTCTTCCTGATTTGAGTAATTATTTGTATGAACTGGGGATCAGTTTGCTCTTTCAGAGTTTGCTTTTCAAGGCTCTGATATCAAATTAAGGTTATTGTCTGAGCTTGTCTCTCCAGGGAAATTTATTTTCCTGTTTTCTGATGTGTCAAAACCTGAGATTTAATATGCACGAGGCAAAGACATCCGAATTGTTGACAAATCAGATGATATAAGGCAGAAATTATTCTGAGGCATTTCTCACCGTGGTGAAATATGGTGTGATGACTGATCATTTTATCAACATGACATTTAGATATCTAATATCTCTGTGAGGAGTCTGGTATATTTTTTTTTATTATTATTTTTAATTTTTTTTTCTGTAAGTACAGTAAAACACGGCAAACTAGATTTTTCAAATAAATCTAGAAGTTCCTGGGAGCTTTTCTTCCCTTTTCCAAACTCATATCAGCACTAGGGGTAATCACACTCTGCATGTGTGTGCCTGTGCTCATGTTTTTGTCTATGGGCATAGATGTGCCTAAACATTATTGTAAAAGCAGATATGTTAAAAATAGACACACCTTCATTAAAAAGTCAAAGCAAGGGCAGGAATGAAAGCTGTGACTCGAAGTGTTGTGTATCTAGTTAGGAAAGTTAATTTGTAGGGGACAGATGTAACAAGCATTTAGCCAGTGACAGCTGTACCATCTTTGTCAAAAAAAATATTAAAAAATCCAACCAGTAAAAACAAACAAATAAACATCAACAATAGAGACAGCAGAGAGGAAAAGTGAAAGTGCTTGAAATGTGAAATAATCATATATATATATGTGTGTGTGTGTGTCTTTTGACACTTCATTTTTATATGACCTGAGGCTGACAGATCCAGAATATAAATATCACTTTTCTTATAAAGGCTGGTCTGCAGAAAATGCTCTCCTACCCCAAGGAAAACATGCACTTAGCTGAAAAGCAATGCACTGGGTGACTCTGTACTATAAACTTTGGTGCTACACAAAGCTTCGGGTGCTTTTAATTTCAAGCTGCATTTCTAATCTTCTTTTGCAGCCTCTCAGAGCAGCAGAGAAGGATCCTGTGGTTCTCTCGCTCCTCCTGCAATAGCCAGAGCTGCTCCCTGCCCCTGGTGCTGGGCAGTGCACCCAGCTGGGACAGCACCACCGTGTCAGAAATGCACACCCTGCTGAGGAAATGGACATTTTCTCACCCTCTAGAGGCACTGGGGCTGCTGACTTTCAGGTAAGGGGAGCTCTCCCAAGCAGGAAATGAGGATGAAGAGCAGGATCACATCCTGCTTAATTCACTGTCCAGGTTTGGTTCGCTGGATTTTGGTTTTGGTGCCTTTTTTTTTGTTTGTTTTGTTTTTGCTTTGGTGCTTTTGTTTCTCTCTGGGTCAAAGTGAAAATGGAGCTGCAGCTCTTGTGATGACCTCGAGTGTGCCAGCCCCGCCTTCCTGGCTGAGAAGGTTTTCTGTTTCTCAGGATAATGACAAGAGAATTTCATTCCCTGGAACAGATTCGGGCAGTTTCTGGTAACAGGTGATCAGTTACATCCTCAGCACTTACACATCTCCATAACCCCAAAGTGCTGTGCAGACACGAGGTGAATACTGGGAGATAAGGAGGGCTGGGATGTGTCTCTAGATTATACAATAATCTGTGTAAATCCACACAGCCCCACGTGTAACCTGGCTTTCTCAAGCACATTGGGTGAAACTTTGAAATCAGTTGAAGAAATTCTGTGGTGGTGCCTTGTGTTCCACGCCCTCTCCTTGCACTGGGAGCTGATTTTTTGTCAGGACACTTTACTGATGGGGAGATATTCCTACCCATGATGTGCCAGAGGTGTCAGGGGACAGAGCCTGTGTCAGCAGCTACATTCCCAACAAAAACTTGGGAGGCATTCTGCATTAAGTGACCTGTAAAAAATTACACCTGCAGATGAAATGATTGAGCAAATTTGTTTTATCAAGCCGTTGCTTGTCTTGGGTAAGCACAAGCTGCACCAGTTTTGCAATCTCAGTTTCATGCTGTACCTTGGGAAAAAAAATAAACCTCCTTGGGAAATGCACTGTGGCTTAATACATTTACTGCCATATAATTAAAAATAGTTATTTAATAATCTAAATCTGATTATTTTCTCTGGATGCAATTTCCTAAGAATACTTATATCCCAGGTTTCTATCTGAACTATCAGCAGTTTCACATGTCTTTTTTATGTGAAGTGGGAATGCAGTGGAAGCAAAGCTCCTGACAGATCAGATTCTGGAGCATAACATTGTTATTTATCATTATTAAATGATTAGGATCCAATTCTAATTTATCAAAGATCCATGTAGAAATGAGTATATGGACAGTGTGTTGTCTTCCAGCCTTCAGAGGAGAAAGGGAACGTGGTTGGGTTTGTCAGAGCATGCCAGGCTTTTAGATCAGACCTTTTGCCTGATTTTATTTCTGTGTCTGGGTGGCATTTCTGCAAGGGAAGAGCTCGAATGTTCTTTGAAGATGCAGCTCTGCAGGAGGGTGTGGTGCAGAGTTTCAGTTCTTTCAGGTGCTTCAGGGAATATTTCCTATTGCCCAGCCTGTCCCCCAGCTTCTCAGCCTGTATGGGTGTGCAGTGTGCCCAGTGTTCATTGTGGCTGCACAAAGATTGCTGGCAGGGAAAAGAGAAAATGTCACCCCTTTGTGCTTCTTGTGCCACCTGCAGCTGTGCCAAAGAACAAGAACTTCTGATCAGGATCTTAGATGGTTTGTCCCTTTAGTTTCTCACAGAAGATAACATCAATCCAGATGTTTTGCTTCATGGTAACACTGCAGAAAGAAGTTCTGGATCACAGAACAAATCCTCTTAAGGAAAAAACAATCTGTCCTTCTCATAGCCACAATATTTTGTTGGTGCATGAACAACCTTCAGAAACACAGAGATTACACTTCCTAAAGATGCCTGCTTTCAAAAATGTCTGGGTCGCTGATTTAAGTGCTGAGACACATGGATGTATGCAAATTGAGAGAGTGGGCTGAAGGAGAGGAGTACTTTCCATATAAATGGATTTCTGAAGTTTCTTCTCTTACTTCTCTATTTCTCAGTTTTCTATCATTTTGAAAGAAGTACAGTAACACTGGCTAGGGTCCAACCTTACTTCCCCCTTCCCCTCACTGACTTTGGATCACAGGCTCTTTAACTGAGCTGGTTTTGAACATTCATTCAACTCTATCCTGTTTTATGTTTGGCATTGACAACTCATCAACTCAGTTCCTCACTTCTATCATGCACGAAACAGCTCTCTGATTTCTTGTGATTGCTAAGACACGGCTGAAAGATCCAAGTTCATATAAAACATGAGCAGAATATAAAATAAATGCTCTTCACATATTCATGTCTATTTTAAGGACTTGTGTTACCATCACTATCAAACCATGGGCAAGGAAAATTAATTAGAGCTGATCTTTGTCTACAAGTATTGCTGACAGGAGCAACTGCACTGAATGAGCCCAAAATTCAGTGTAGTGCATCCTCTCTGCAGTGGTGACCAACAACAGCCAGGGAACACAGTGAAAATGGGCCAAACATGGTGACACTGCTTCTTCTCTCCCAGCTTTCAGTCATCTGCAGCTCAGACACTTCCTCAGAATTCTTTTCTTGTTGCAAGAGCCCTCTTGATTTTTTTTTTTCCCAAATTAAAGTTGATTCTGCATAAATATTCAGCTTACAGTAGATCCTAAAGCAAGGAGATCTGCAGCTTAGCTCTGTGCTGTGTTATTTCTGTGCACCACAATTTATCAATACCATAAAAGAGACCAAGAGTTTCCAGTCACTCCAGATTGTGGATGCTTTCTTTGGTGGAACTTCAGTTTGCAGTGTCTTTAGGAGAACCTGAATCTGTGCTGCAGGTATGTGCTCACTCTTTACAAAAGGTTCTTAAAACCATTTCTGGAAGCCTTGGCTTGGGAACTGAACTATCCTTCTTCCCAGAGCAAAAAAAAAAAAAAAAGCAGCATGTGTCCTGATGATTAAACTCCACCAGCCATTAGTGAGGACAGAGAAATGAAAACCACTGGAGAGGTTTTCTCACAGCCTGGGATAGAAGGCAGCAGCACAGAGTTTAGGGAGAGGTGTCACAGCCACCAGATCAAGCCCCATTATCGGGAATCTGAACTGGATTTGCAGCTTTCTGCAATTTCTGATTGTTTTGTTCACCCCACAGTTAAACATGCCCTTTAACAGATGTTTCTTGTTCTTTGAGTGTCTCTCTTATGCTCTTCCACTTTGCAGGCAAGCCTTAAGGCAGGCAAATGATGGCATGCAGTGCATTTATACAGTGGAAAGGAAGAACTTTCACAAATGGAAAACACAATCATGGCACATTTCACTGATAAATTCACTTGCACCCTTGAATCCAGTATTCAGACCAAGTGCATCGATTCTTAGAGCCTTAGAAGCCAATGCTTACAAAAAGGAATTTAAAGAGCCATTAATGTTTCTTTAATCAATAAAGATGTGATGGAGAGGATGGGAGGGGGAAGTGTAGAAAAAGATTTTACGCTCTTACCTCTAATTTCAGGGAAGGATGGTTATAATCTGTTGCCTGAAATATAAAATTATCCTTAAGGCAGAATTTTAGAGATGGTCCCTCCTACTCAGAGCAGCTTCTTGGTGCCCTGTGCATTTTGCTGTTGGTTTTGCTTATTGAATCTGGTAAAAAGCCAAGCTTTAGTGAGTTAGAATTTCTCTTGCTGCATGCACCTTGCATGGCACAGTAGCCAGGGAAATAACCCCAGTACACTCATTTACTGAGAGAATTTCCTCATGACAGAAAGAAGCCAAAGCAGGGTTGGCAGTGCCATCATTTATGATGTCTTGCTAGCAGGCCAATGGTTTGTGTATGTTTAGAACAACCATAACTGGGAATTTTTAGTCAGGTTATCTTGCTATTCAAGTTACTGCAAAGGAAAGTCCAAGAATATTCATTAATCAAACCAGCAAATGTCTTCAGGTTCTTTTTTGTTGTTGTTATTTTGGTTTGGTTTTTGTTTTCTGTTTTTTTTCTGGGTTGGTTTGGTTTTTTGTTTGGTTTTTTTTGGTTGGTTGGTTGGTTGGTTGGTTGGTTGGTTGGTTGGTTGGTTGGTTGTTTTTTTCCTGGCCTATTTGAGTGCACTTGCAGCCCTGTGAGGTTTCATGGCTGGGAAGGAGGAAATTGAGCTAGAATCAGGAAATAACCATGGAAGGTGTGTGTTTTTTCCAGCTCAGTGCATGGCTGCAACCATTTTGAAGAGAAAACTTTCTGAAGTATCTTGTGGAGATGCCTGCTAGGCTTAAAGATTTTCCTAGAAAAACTCCCTGCTGAATTCTAATTCCTTCAGGGCACAGGAAAGGACATTCCTTTAAAGCCATGATCCAAATCAGGTGTGTCAGACCCAGTTTTGGTTTTAGTGTCCCTCAGCCTGTGGCTGTCACTGCATTATTCTTGATTCTCACTTTGTGTAGCAGAGTGGCTGTTGCATTTCAGAGGTTCAGGTATCCAACCAGCAATCACAATAAAATGTGATACCCTGAAGACAGATTTTGTTCTTACACCTCTGAAAGCCAAACAGATTTAGAATTGTTGAATCAGATTGGGATTGTTTGAGTAAAAGGAGAATTGAAGATGTTCCCTTGGAGCTCACCATGGAATTCCCAGCAGAGTATTCATAAACCAGGTAGGGGTAGAGCACACCTTGCCTGTTTGCATCCTGTGCCTTGGCTGTGGGTGTGCATCGATATGGGCAGCAAACACAGGCTTAGGCAGAGAAATAAGATAAGGACAATTAATTTGATTCTTTGATGTACAGAACACAGTACTGATAAAGCTTTAAAACTGCTTGTGCTTAATATAAATGAAATTTAGTGATAACTGCAATGGAGATGTATGCATTGCTAGAACAGACAAGTCTTTTTAAGCAGTAGCACATGATGAATTCTTTTTTTTTTTTTTTAACTGTTTTTAACCATTTTTAGCTTTCTTGGCAATAAATATGGAGGTTCTACAGCAGAATGCTGTGGTAGGACAAATAGAAAACTATGTAGAATGTTGCATGCTTTCTGTGCATAAATGTACATTCTAGTCAGGAAGCTTAATCTAAATAATCATGTTTTCCAGGGTTTAATCTTTAGTTTTAATGTAACAGAGAAGTTTGTCTCCAGGGTGGGAAGAACCTTCTAGATCATACAAGTTTCAAATGGAAACTTCTTCTTGTTAACTT